TTTTTTGGCTTTTTTTGCCCATTTTCCTGCTTTTTTGGCTTTTTTTTTATCAATTTTGGCCCAAAGCTACAACCACCTGGACAACCATGACCCCACCAAACAGGCCAGGCAGGCATAAGAGATTTTCCCCTCTTTTCCTTCTAGCACAGCATTTTCCACATTCCCCCTCTACCCATTCTGATTTTGATCTGATTTTGAGCCCATTTCCCTGCTTTTTTGGCTTTTTTTGCCCATTTTCCTGCTTTTTTGGCTTTTTTTGATCAATTTTGCCCCGAAGCTGGCGCTGCTTCATGTCCTTTCTTTGCGAATCTCCCGGGGGATGTTGCAGAGCTGGAACGGGAGGATTCCGGGTTTGTCAAATATTTTTTTTTTATACCACGCTGCCGTGCCAAGAGGAACGTGTGGGTTTGGCGGAGGGAATAATGAGTTAATTGTGATGAAATGGAATTCCATCTCTCGGAGGATCTCCTGGCTGGGAGGAGGTCGGGATGATGGAATTTCGGGGCAGGTGTACGAGGAGAGCGCGGCAGCGATGAGCGGTTTTTGTTTCTGCTCTGCCTGCATCCATCACCTCCTGGGCTCTCAGGATTATCCACATGGCAAAAAAAAAAAACAAAACCCAAAAAAAGTCATTTCCCTCCCAAAGGAGAGTTTTGCACGTGGATCTGCGCTAGAGCTGCCCCGGCGATTTTCCAAATCTGAGCTCCGGGTGAGTTTTCTGTGCATTAACAAGCCTGGAAGTGGGAAGAATTCCACTTTTCCTCGTGTCCAAAAGCAGAGGTGGCTGTTCCAAAGCCCAGCTGCTGCAAAAAGGGCGAGGCTGCCATCAACCCACAAACCCAAACCTGGCAGAGAGGCGATGGATCCTCTCCACCTCTCCCTGCCTCCTGTGGGAACCCGGCGATTCCTGCCCGCCGTGCCAACAAAAACCTTGGAAAAAAAAAAAATAAATAATAAAAACCCCGACGGATCCACATTGAAACCAACACCCAACAGAGCCAAGATTATCCCGGGAACAACCGGCCCAGGAATTCCCCCAGCCACGGATTGCTCGGCCAAGCCATTTTTCTTTTTCCCGACGCGATTGAACTGGGCCGGGCGCAGCACTGGGAGCCAAAACCTTCCCATGAATCACATTTTAATCCGCGTCCCCCGGCCCTCGGATGTCGCAGGGCTTCAAAGGGGTTCCCAGTTTCCACCTCGCCCTCTTTCTGTGGGGTGTTGCCCAACGCCGGCGCTCTTGGAGGGTTTTCAGAGAATATTTGCAGCGAACGCAAAGGAATGTGAGAATATTTGCCAGCTGTGCTCAGTGGTTTCGTGTAGCAGCTCCCAGAGGTTTCTGTGAGGTTTGGGATTATCTTGTGTCATTTCTGTGAGGTTTGGGATTATCTTGTGTCATTTCTGTGAGGTTTGGGATTCTCTTGTGCCGTTTCTGTGAGGTTTGGAATTCTCTTGTGCCGTTTCTGTGAGGTTTGGGATTCTCTTGTGCCGTTTCTGTGAGGTTTTAGGATTCTTTGCACCATTTCTGTGAGGTTTGGGATTCTCTTCTGCCATTTCTGTGAGGTTTGGGATTCTCTTGTGCCATTTCTGTGAGGTTTTAGGATTCTTTACACCATTTCTGTGAGGTTTGGGATTCTCTTGTGCCATTTCTGTGAGGTTTGGGATTCTCTTGTGCCGTTTCTGTGAGGTTTGGGATTCTCTTGTGTCATTTCTGTGTTTTAGGATTCTCTTTTGTCATTTCTGTGAGGTTTTAGGATTCTTTGCACCATTTCTGTGAGGTTTGGGATTCTCTTGTGCTGTTTCTGTGAGGTTTGGGATTCTCTTGTGTAATTTCTGTGAGGTTTAGGATTCTCTGGTGCCGTTTCTGTGTTTTAGGATTCTTTCGCGTCATTTCTGTGAGGTTTGGGATTGTCTTTTGTAATTTCTGTGAGGTTTAGGATCCTCTTGTGTCATTTCTGTGAGGTTTGGGATTCTTTGCACCATTTCTGTGAGGTTTGGGATTCTCTTGTGCCATTTCTGTGAGGTTTAGGATTTTCTTGTGCCATTTCTGTGAGGTTTAGTATTCTCTTGCACCATTTCTGTGAGGTTTTAGGATTCTCCTGTGCCATTTCTGTGAGGTTTGGGATTCTCTTGCACCATTTCTGTGAGGTTTTAGGATTCTCCTGTGCCATTTCTGTGAGGTTTGGGATTTTCCCATGCCATGAAAAAAGCGGGACAAGCTTTGTTTGAAGAGTTTAAAAGCCGCCTGTCCCAGCGTTGCTCTGTGGAACCAGGACAAAGCAATTTTCCTGAAATAATGACACAAGAAATAATAAACACTCTCCCTGTTTGCCTCTCCCCAGTGGGATCCCAGCCTGCCTCCGTTCCCGCGGAACGTTTCAACGCCAATTATTCCTGCAAATCTGCCATTTATCCTCAATTACAGCGGATTATTGCGAGGAGGGCGAGGAATTCCGTGAGATTTGCCTGTTTATTGAGGATCTGCCTTTAATATCCCTTAAGCTGCGGGTAATTGCTGCAGCTCGGGCTCGTCTCTGCTGATTATTCCGGGTGCTGACCCAAGCTCCCGCTCCCCCAGCGACGTTCCGCCGCTTCTTTTCCACGCACACCTCGCCGCCCCTTCCCAAAAAATCCTCCCACCGAGGCTCGGCGCCGTTGGAGGATGTTTGGGAATGGGAATTCAGCTGGATCCATGGAGCTGGGGGACACCTCCAGCAGGTTTCTGGTGTCTCTGTGGGATCCACCTCGGCGCAGGCAGAACCCTGCCCGAGCTGGAACAGAAATCCCGAGGGAAAAATCTCCCACCCTGGAGCTCAAGGGCAGGACAACCTCTCCTGGTGTAAAATGGATTTTGGGAGGGTGTCCAACGAGACGCTGCCACAACAGAATCCATTTATTCACCCGGGATTTGCCACGGGGAATCCGGCACGGGAAACGACTTTTGCTGCAGCCTGGAAAAAGGAGCAGGGCTGGGGCTTTTCCTTGAGGAGAAACCCAAAGTGGTGGTGGGCAGGAAAAACCTGCGGGGAGCTCTTCTCACCCCAAAACCCCCTGAGCCAACAAATCCTTTATTTCCCACTCGAGCGGCCGAGGAAGCTGCGGAGAATTCCTTGTGGATCAAGAGGATCACATCAAAGGAATGCCTGACGCCACCATCAAAGCCAGGTGGGAGACGAGTCGCTGGCTGCTGCCTTGACTCCGAATTAATCTCCCTAATTCCAGGCTGGCTTTGGCACAATTGAAGAGGTAATCGACCAAAAAGAAGTTTTTCACAAAGTCTTGGGCCTGGTTAAAATCTCCTCAGAGCCCGACCTCGCTCTGCAGTTGTTTTCTGGTGCAAAGGGAGGGGAGGGCTCTGCTGCTCATCACATCAAGGGGAAATATTGGCATTTAAATGGCAGAATTCATGGAATTCCAGAATGGTTTGGGTGGAAAGAGACATTAAAATTTATCCAGTTCCAACCCTGACACCTTCCACCATCCCAGGCTGCTCCAAGCCCCATCCAGCCTGGCCTTGGACAATGCCAGGGATCCAGGAGCAGCCACAGCTTCTCTGGGAATTCCATTCCAGCCCCTCCCCACCCTCACAGGGAACGTTTTTTCCGCTAATATTTAATCTAAAAAGCTTTAAAACCGCTCAAGGAAAAAGTCACTTCTTGTCATCTGTGCTGCTGAAGAGTTTTCTCCTGTTTCTTGCTTGGTCTTTTTGAGTCACCAGCTCTGCCTTCTCCCTCCCACAGCAGCACCAAAACAAGAATTCCGAGCAGAGAATTCATCCTTGTTCAGCCAAAAACAAAAATAAAAAGATGGAAATATGGGAAGCAGTACGAGCTGCAGCCAATTCCCAAAAAGATGGAAATACTGGAAGCAGAACGAGCTGCACTCAATTCCCAAAAAGATGGAAATATGGGAAGCAGAACGAGCTGCACTCAATTCCCAAATATGGAAATATGGGAAGCAGAACGAGGTGCAGTGAATTCCCAAATATGGAAATATGGGAAGCAGAACGAGCTGCAGCCAATTCCCAAATATGGAAATATGGGAAGCAGAACGAGCTGCAGTGAATTCCCAAATATGGAAATATGGGAAGGAGAACAAGCTGCAGCCAATTCCCAAATATGGAAATATGGGAAGCAGAACGAGCTGCACTCAATTCCC